TGCGTTAGAAGTAGAACGGTACAAAATAAGCCTTTTAAACACTAGAGTTGATTCATTCCATGTTCTTATTAGGCGTTTCCGATTGCAACGTTTAACAGGTGTCATAGCATATCAAGACATATTGCTTCATTTTTAATTCACTCAGATAGATAGATGGATGGATGGATGGATGGATGGATGGATGGAAAAGCCGTATTTGTTTACTTGAAAATCAGCCCGAATCGTTCAGTTTGTTTTACGAACCGATTCCAGTGATTCATTAAAAATAATCACTTCAAAAGAACGATTAGTTTAGATCACTATTTATATCTTAACTTCGAAATAACAAGGAACAGCATGGTTTTGTGAAATATAGTGCAAGTTAATGTAGGCTATTATGCGTTAGAAGTAGAACGGTACAAAATAAGCCTTTTAAACACTAGAGTTGATTCATTCCATGTTCTTATTAGGCGTTTCCGATTGCAACGTTTAACAGGTGTCATAGCATATCAAGACATATTGCTTCATTTTTAATTCACTCAGATAGATAGATGGATGGATGGATGGATGGATGGATGGATGGATGGATGGATGGATGGATGGATGGATGGATGGATGGATGGATGGATGGATGGATGGATGGATGGATGGATGGATGGATGGATGGATGGATGGATGGATGGATGGATGGATGGATGGATGGATGGATGGATGGATGGATGGATGGATGGATGGATGGATGGATGGATGGATAGATAGATAGATAGATAGATAGATAGATAGATAGATAGATAGATAGATAGATAGATAGATGATAGATAGATAGATTCTCATTTCTGAAAATCTCACAATGAGAATGAGGCTGAGTAAAGAGTCCAATGTTTCATCATACCCTTATGATAATCCAATAATCAAAGCCATATTTGTTTTACTTTATTGTATCAAAGTAGAGCATTATTTTACAACTGCCTGAAGCTTATAATTTCAATTTACATCAAGATCTATGATATTGTGTCATCCAGGTAAAAGTTTATACTTAGCATGCTTAGTTCATATACTTCACCCTATGCAGTAATAAAAGCATAAAAAATGAAATGCCAAACTTATAACTTGACCTAGAGCTTGATTTCTTTCCATCTGCCACCTGATGCAGTCACCAATGGAATCTCCATTATTTATTTCACAAGGGCCAGTTTAAGATAAATGTTGAAAATAACAATGGAGGTCCCACATATCATGGGAGAATAATATTTATATCAGGACCCACCGTCTCTGCCGTCCTGGTCCTGGTGAGTAAAAGCTGGTCACGTAAACAGAAAGTGTAAATATTCTAAAAGTGTGAGTGAGAAGTTCTAAGCAGAAAGATGTTCCAAAGCACTCTATCTCTCACTTCCTCAAATACCACTGCCTTTACAGTGTCATCTTTACAGTGTCATCTGGCCAGGATCAGTTCTCGCCATCCTCACACTCAGACTGTCAATGTCAATGAACAGCTTAAGAGAGCACATAGATGAAGACCTACATAAACACACACGAAAGTACATATACACAAACACTGAAATAAAAATGTCCATTATTTATAAAGTTTGCCTGACTTGTAAATCAGAATATGGGTGTTCCGTCAATTAGGGCAATTCTTTGAAATCCAGAAAAAAAAAATGAAACTTTTCTAAACTAAAGGACTGTTCAAAAGCGGTCTGTATGATTTTTTTTTTGAAAGAAATCAAAATTATTATTCAGTAAGGGTGCATTAAATTGATCATAGGAAAACGTAAAGACATTGAAAATGTCACTAAAGATTTCTATTACAAGTAAATGCTGTTATTTAGAATTAAATTAGAATGAATCTTATAAAACTATAAGGATTGCTCTTTAAAAAAAAATTTTTTTAATCCAATACATTCTATGACTCCCATATATGCAAAAATATCTCCTCGCACCTTTACTGTCTTTGTTTCATGTTCTACACTCCCTCTCTCTACACAGACGGTTCCTACATCTATTATTCATTTTCTCTCTTTCTCCCTGTCCAGTCACATGTTGACAACATGTTGCACAACAGTATTATTTTTGGATCAACATTAGTACATCATTATTTCCGGGAGACATTTGATTTCTGTAAAATCATCTGCCAGCAACTGTTTCCCCATCGTCCAGCTGTGCGCACTTTGAAGATTCACAGCATTGATCTTTCATAAATCCCTAGACAGACCTCTGGTCACTCCAATACACTACAACCACCATATTAAACATTCTGATATTAATTATCGTTCGATAATACATACAGATAAATATATATAATACAGTATATGGCCCAATGGCAAACAGACAAAAATCTAATTCATATGAATTAAACAGCTTTTCAAAAGTCAGAGGCTGTCACGATCCAAGACCCTGCAGTGAAAGCACATGGGCTTTCTTATTAAGGACATAATCTGTTCCACCACATTCTTGTCAGGCTGGACTTGCATTGGTGAACTGTAATATGAGAGGTGGCAACAAGCTTAAGTAATTGGATTGGTATATAGCACTGAGTGTCAGACAATAGATAGTCATCTCTGCAACAGCCATCTGACCCTTTGTTCCTGGTTTCAGGCGTGATTTAGAAGCCCATAACTGCCTGGTTTGATCCCAGTCAAGGATGAAAAAGGGGGCGAGCAGAGCAGAGTGGGACCGGAAAAGTCTAGTTCAATCTGATGACCCGTACACATCTCGGGTCCCCAGTCGAATTTGGGCTCCCCAAAGGTTTGCGGCTTACTTGTGCGGTCATTACTCAAATCCCATTAGCCCTGGGGCAGCTTTACAAACACAGATTCTGGCCTGTGGATAAGCTGACATGGAAAAAAGTAATAAAAACACACACACAAATTGGTGTATGATTTGCTGTAAAACAATGTTCACTCAGAAATTGCAAAGGAAATGTCAAAAATTACAAAGAAACAGCAAGTTAAATTTGAAATTTTGAAGTAGAAAGACTAAAATAGTATGTTCTTTTAGCAATAATCTTTTTTATTCACAACTTTGACAATCATTTTATGATGAATAGGTATATTTATACAAAATATCTAACATTTAAATATAGTCACTAATATATATTTATATAATTATCAGCAACAATCATGACCATTATTTAAGACTGCGAAACTAAATCTTCAAATTACATTGTCAGAATAGATTTCAGAAAAAGACAACTTTTGATGTTACAATAGCATACCGAACATGATATACTCTATAATCTATGACTGATAGTTGCTTTTAAACCAGCACCATCCTAAAGTGGCAGGCCAGGAGTCTAACAAAAGCAGTGGTTTAAATCCCACAAACCTGCCTGACTTTCAAAAGAAGGGCTTTGGCATCCCAGATGAAATGTGAATGCGGATACCAAAATGGGCAAAACCCTTTGAGGGGAAAGCGCTCAAGTTTTGAGGTTTAAATAGTCTAATTAATCCTTATTACACAGAGTGGCTATTTAAATGCAGTGAGTAACCTGAGACCTCTCTTGGGGGTCAGAATCTTTTAAAGGCACAGTGGCCGGTACAAAAGGTCCAGCACACCTTTAATCTTGAACCTCACCGACAGGAAATATCAGCCTGGCATCTTGCCCTCAACTTGCTATGGATCTCCTTTATGTGGCCACACACATTATTGAGGGCTGTGATTCTGCTGTCAGTACAATATAAAGGTGAACGGTTAAACGGTAAAAAAAAAAAAAGTGAATCTACAGTTTATTTTAAATTGTATTGCATATAGTATGTGCATGTCATGTAAATATTCTTTTTATGAAACAACTTTAAGTGAACCAAATGAAGGTCAAAATAAATGTAAATACTGAACTTCTAAAACAGCGTTATTGGCTGAGCCAATGGTGTGAGTTTAGGGCAGGGCTATGTGTTTGATGACCAATGGCAGACAGAGAGTTTGTTTGCACTGTTAGTGATACTAAATTCTATATATTTCAAATTTAAGAATTCTAATAAAGAGTAATATACTAACATGACATAAAAATGCTTGTAATTCCTTTTTTATTGTTTTCTTTCTGTGCTATCGCTTCCTTACTCAGATCCAACACCGAGATAAACAGAGACCCTCACTCATCTTTCAACATCAAGATTAATAGACTCCCAACACTGTGACTAAAAAGCTATTAGATTGACATGTAGAAATGCACTTTTCCTTATAGGGTTGCTTATCAGAAGATTTCATACCACAATCCAGCAGTTGTAAAATGATGTGGCGAAATAACCCACAAGTTACTGATTAGCCACGGTCTCATGCTGTGGGATTGTTTGCACTAAGGTCTGTGGTATGACCTGTAGCGTGACCTGTAAGCATGACGTCAGAGAAAGAGTAAAAGATATCTTGCAGGTACTCAAGTCATAATTTGATTTACATAACCCGTCTGTGGGATTCTGTATTCGAATAGCTTTTCAGATTTGCCCCGTGCCCACAAGAGGGCAGCAAGAGCTATGGGGGCAATTAACTCAAGATTACTGTATGTGGATCTATGCACACAAAGAATGCCTCAGGATTTTATCACACATGGGTATCAAAATACACGGCCAAACACTGAATGTTGACATCATAAAGTGAATGTCCCTTTTTGTGTCAATATTTCTACACTGAAAAAGTGTCTGACTTTGAAGGATTCTAGATGTGCATTCCACAATTCTAAATAACAGTGTCTGTGACCTCTCATATCTGTCTGGCTGCAAGCCATCCTTTTTAAATGCTGATGCGTTTATTGTTATAGACAGACAGATTGTATTTTATTTAAAATATTCAACATACAGTGAACTAATTAGCCTAATATAGTATGTTGCCTTCCTTTTCCTTTAAAACTATATATCTATAACATGTTTTGCAGTGGAAGAACATGCGGTTAAGTCTCCCAGATAAACCCGTCATCTTGTGGGACTGGGGGACACGGGCGGGGCTTCTCTACACGCCACACCCTTTAACTTTTTAATATTAAAATTACGCATGCGTGTCCCACCCCCATTAACTGAACTTGGTGTGTTGAATGCGCAGTCAGTCAGTCGCGGACAAACGCTCACATGGCTTCTGTGTAATGTATACCCGCCGCTGAGAGAGAGAAGCAGAATAAGAAATATAAGAATTTCAGATAGGCTACGCTGGGATAATAGGAGGCAGTTTCCTACACATTGGAAAATAGTCTTCTGAAAGAAATAAAGTTGTTCTCCACCCGTGCATGTTAAATCGGGGAGTACATTAGAGCCGTGAGGCGGCTAGAACTTCTGAGTCTCAAAGCAACACCAACAAGAAGGCATGATTGTGCGACGGAGTTCAGTATTTTCTGCTTTCTACCTTCATGCCTTTTTGTTATGCTTGCCGACGAAGGTGAGTCTGTTTTAAATAGCTGAAATGTTTTTTTCTGTCTTTGTGTTATTTATTTTCAAAATATACTGTAACACAAAGCTGTGTATTATAAAATAGCATTGACAAATGCAACCAAAAACAACCGTGTTTGGACCTCTCAAAAGCAGCGCAAACGTTCTGCATGGTTTAATCTGACACTTGACAGACTGGCAGACCAAGTTTAGCAGCCTATTCCGTAAAACGAGACTAATTTGATTTTGCTGCACTTTTTATACACGGATTTAAAGGTTTTTTTCTTCTTCTGTTCAACAGGTGTCTGACGCATCGGGGCACTTCGAGCTGGAAATAGTATCGATGCAGAATGCGAACGGCGAGCTGCAGATCGGCTCGTGCTGCGACGGCGAGAGGAGCCCGGCGGATCGCAAATGCACGCGGGACGAATGTGATACATATTTTAAAGTTTGTCTGAAGGAATATCAATCGCGAGTTTCCGCGGCTGGGGCTTGCAGTTTCGGAACTGGATCTACGCCCGTTCTCGGTGGGAATAAATTTTCGACCAAGGGTACGCGGAGTGAAAAGTCAAGGATTGTTTTACCCTTCAGTTTTGCGTGGCCGGTGAGTAGATGTCATATTTCTTGTTTTAGAGCATAATTAATGAGGTCATAGCGGGTTATGATGACGCAACGTTGGTGATACATCGTAGCAATGTTTCGATCCACGTGTGCGGTTTGTCCTGGAGTTTTATGCCTGCTCGCTTTAGTTGTGTGTGCATGACACCCTAAACAAAAACAACAACTCAAGAGTTCTTCATTACACTACTCAACCAACACTACTCAAAATGTTGTTTACTGACGAATAAAGTCGAGTTGAAAGTGATAACATTTAAATGTTAAACGGATGTAAGCAAAGATGTTTCCTTGGCAAAACATTTATAAATGTCATGATTAGAATTTGGTGCCATGTTGACAGTGGCCTGCAGTAAATTCACTCCTCGTGAAGCTCCTTTCAGTGTCTCCTTTTTGGCAGTCGGCTAACTCTGTAAATAAATACATCAAATAAACCTCTTAATTTGTGTCACTGCAGTAGAATGCAAATAAAAGAAGATTTGTTTGGTGTGAAGCACATGAGCCAAAGCTCCACAGAAGAGAGATTTACCAATGTTTGTCTCGCAGCACTAAAGAATTTATGAGTTGACCGTGGTCTCTTGAAATGGTAGTCATCTGTTTAAGGGGCTTTTGTAACCTGTGTTATCAAGTCAGTCTAAACTGCAGGTGATTTGCAGTAAACTTGTGTGTTACGATATGCAGCCGTGTAATAGAATTCCTACTGTAGTATGTAGTGTGATGTCTGCCAACATTTAAGCTGTATTAACTAAATAAATTGTAGGCCTGTGAACCCCTGAGGGTCCCTGAAGGTACTCCAGGCGGTCGATGGAGAATGTAAGCTAGATAAAACATACTTTTTGACTATGTTTAATGATATGTTATGTAGTGATGTTAGTTAATATTCTTAATGAAAGTGTTGCTCTTAGAAAATCTAGCTTTATTTATACTCGGGGTCACAGGGTTGGCTGACAGTCTGGTTGGGGGTCGTAAACCTTGGTGTAGTGTAACCTAAAACTGGTAGCAATACCTTTGTTGGAGCTATTTTAGTGATATTGATCTACTTGATACAGTTTTCTGGGATTTCCTATTCAGAAATAGATATTCACAGGATTCCCACAGTCCTGGAAAACATGAAAATGTAAGGGAACGTGATTTTGAGGCCTGTAAAAGTATAATCAATTAATCAAATTTTAAAAGTCGTGTAACAGTTGTAAAAATTCATTGGTCAGAAAGTGTAGGAACCCTGTGTTCGTGTTAATTTCTCAGGAGCTCTTGACTGTGGGGACATTGAACTGTCCTTTGGTACGTTCTGTTGGCGTGAGCGCTTGTGCACCTGCTCGCTTGATGATGTCATTGTGGATACATTCTCAGCAGGGTCAAAATGAAAAAACCAAAGGACGAACTGTCGGTCTGACAAAGAAAACGTGTCCCTGTTTGAACTATTTGCCCCAGTGAGCTGCCCACCTGTCCAGTATGTGAACTAGATGGCCAGTGGGCATGTGTTGATCATGTAACACTTCAGCTATTTTTGTGATGTGCACTTCCAAAGCATACTGCAAATGGTTTCTTTTAATCATCAAAATTATGATAAAATCTAAAATTACGACATAGCACACTTCAGTCAGTCGCTAATAATTTTTTCGGTTGGCAGCTGGGGAGAGTTGAAGTTTAGGCTTTGTGGCAGTCACGGCTGACTGGAGACTAGGTATGGCACCTTTTAACTTTGCAACCCTCGGTAATTACTCTCAGCAAGTTCCCAGACACAACAGCCAAATCTCATCGCCAAACTATAACGGTTTCATTTACAGGAATACCACCCATTTATTTTGCACCTTTTACTGCATTTGATTGCCCCGTGCTTTTAGTTTTAGAGAGTGGTGTAGAGAGTAAAAGAGAGCGAGAGGGGGGGTTTTAGTCATAGCCCACCCAGACAGAGCCAGCTTCAGCGAACATGAAACAGGGGGTGACAATAGCCGGGCCAAACTGGCTACAGGGAGGATTACTGTGCATAATGGAGCCAGTCCAGGAATAATGCCGGCCCAGTGCAAGCAACAGGAAGCTGCGTTCGACTCAGCAGTGATGAGATCGCCTCCTAGACAAACCCGCCCCAGCCCTGACCTTACTTCTCATACTGGCCGTTTCAGCAAATTACAGCGCTGCTCTCTGGCCCCGTGGCCCTGAATGCACCTGGGGCCTGTCTGCTCAGCATGAGGCAAAAACGGGCAGCTAAGGGGATAATGACATGTTTGCTTTATACGCTCTGATGTGGCACTTAAGTGCCAATTACTCAAGTCGTAGAACGGGGAAATGCATCGTTTGTCTTTTTTCTTGCCCTTGTTAAGGTCTTGAATGAGGTATTGTTAGGCCATTGTAAAGTAGTCTAGTACTGATGTTTTGTTTAGCTAACTTTTCTTAATCACCTCACACATGACTTACTCAATTCCGATTTATGATGTTACCAGGAAACATTTTGTTGTATTGAGATGTTTAATCTTGAATACCCTCCCTTTGACTGGATACGTGACAGGCTGATGTACTTTTTGATCCGATTCTCTCCTCAGTCCCTGCCCGCGATCGTCTTCCTGAGTGACAGGAGATTAGATGGCTGCCAGTAACTCTTGTGTGCACACAGGTGACTGACAGGCATGTTATCAGGGAAGCCTGTCTCATTTTCCACGCCAGAGAGAGCAGTGAAAGATTGTCAAAAGCTTTCCCTGCAAGCCCCCCTTATCTGCGGCCACCACTCCTGATAGGAATCTCACAAAAAAGCCTTCCTTCTGTGATTGCACCTCCTGAAAGGCAAAAAAGGGCGGTTACCTTCTTGGTAATAGTCAGGTTTTCCAAGCTGCTAATGTAAACCCTGTTGACTTTGATTGATTGGAATCTGGCGGAGTATATCCGGAGCCAATGTTGAACGTTTGTCACTCTACATGTCAGTCTCTCCTTATTAGCAATCACACTTTTACCAGTGGAGACATCACTCGGCAGATTCCCACAGCAAGTGAGTGTGATAAAAGCAAAAAAATGAGGAGCCTCAGCCATTTGTAGAAGCCGAATACATCCCATATCAGAGCTCAGGGGGTTTGGGAGCAAGTGTAGACCTTTATCAGATGTCTGTGAAGGCCTAGAGCGATAAGGCAAATGCAGTGTAAAGTTTGGGAGTCTGCTGATGGGGATAGTGAGAGTTCAATGATGACACTGAGGTCAGTGTCAAGCATAGGAAAAATGAACCTGGCAGCAGCAGGCATTTAGAGCTGATAACCAGATTGTGAGTTATGGAGTGAGATCCAAAGCGGCCCTTGTCTTTAAAACCTCCCCTGCTTCTCACCGAAAAACCATGATTGTTTCTCATTCATTTAGCCTGTTTAAACCCTTTTAAGGCACAAAACTTTCCTGTAGCTCAAAGAGTAGAGTGTGTCGCTAGCAAAGCCAAGGTCATGGGATTGGTTCCCAGAGAATGCATGAACTGATAAAAAAAAAAATGCCTTCAATGCAATCCAAGTCACTTTGGATCAAAGCATCTACCAAATGCATAAATGTAAATATAAAACTATAATGTCAGGTAAAACAATTGCTTAGGTTTCTAAGTCCATCACCTTTTTTAGTCACTGTCCTGATCTGATGGGAGGTTGTGCTAGCTCATATCCGGACATGTCCGTAATATACGGCAGCAGGCACTTCAAACACTGTGTGGAAGTGCAGGGCAGCTGAAATTAATGAGCTGTGTGCTTGATATACATAAACTGGCAAGATTTGTTAATTCAGTGGGGGCTGTGAATCAACAGCATGTTTGTGTTAACAATGCGTTCAAGTGTGGACAAGGAGAGGAAGGACAAGGTGTATCCCAGTGGAGGTGACACAGCTTGCATCAAATAAACTGATATTTGATAACCATAAACACGGTGACTGTGAGATGGCTGAGTAGCTGGTTAGTGAGTTTGAGTAGTGTCATTTTTTTAAGTTATATTAATGGGATTTTTATGCCTTTATTGGGACAGGACAGTAGCGTTGAGTGGAGAGAAATGAGCGGGATCGGCAAAGGACCTCGAGACGTAAATCAAACTCGGGTCGCCGCAAGCACAGTTGTGCTGTATGTATGCACTAACCACAAGGATATTCAGCGCCGACTTTATTTTTTATTTATTTTAGGTATTTTAGCACCTGTGCTTTAATTAGCACTTGGAGATTTTGCACAGTAAAACTTTGTCCTTAAAACTTGTATCTTTAAATTAATGCACCTGAAGCACCGCCTCTACATGCAGATGGACGTCCTTGGCTGTTGTATCTTGGCCATACATGATGTTTTTTTGGGAAATTAGTTTAAAATACTTTCAAAAATGTCTTGAATGTCTAATCAGAACCCAAAACTTGGATATTAAAAATATACTGTTTAGCACATCCTATTTGTGTACCTTTTAGGAATGCACAATATATCAGCACCTTAACAGGTATATTCCTATTTATTTATTTTTATTATTATTTATCCGATTGACACTATATATATATATATATATATATATATACCAAAATTCAATTGTGCATGCTAATTTCAGACTTTTTATAGTTTTACATTTAGATGCCTAAATTCATTTGTAGCATTTAAAATGGCAGATTTTAGCTTTCAGTGTTTAATTTTTCATTTATTTAGACAAAATAGTATCGAATCTTAAAGAGAAAGTTGTATTGTATTAACTAGAATCTCTAGTACCACTTGATTGACATTTTCCACTTGAGGTGATGCTTTGTTTTGGCAACGTTGTTATCTTGATATTCTTCAGGTCATCGAGATCCGAATGACCCAGACTAATTTTAGCTCTTTGTATAGTGAGAGGTGTTGCACATTGGTTTGTTTGAATGGTCTGGCGTAGGGGACTCAGGATCCATTGTTGCTGCAAACGGACAGTGAGAACCTTGGAGATGTTGGAAATTCCGTGGTCCCTCGTCAAGAGTACGAGTGTGTGAATCTGACAAGTAGGTGCCGAAAAGAGACGCTTCAATTCTGGCACAGGCGCATTCACACGCACACTCGTTTTCTCTCATAGGCTTTTGCTTTTTTCGATCAACTTCTAACACTAAATCCTAGATATGGACGCTCATTTTATTCTCTGAGGCGGAGTATTCTCTCTCTCTCTCTCTCTCTCTCTCTGTGACTCTTGTTACCTGATACCGGTGAGAGCCATGATGACCTTAAGTCAGACAAAGCGTTTCAGAAGTGCTGAAATGTAGCCAACCCCTCCAGAGATCTCGGCCTGCATTGGAGTCAAGCAGCCCACCCCCCGCAACTCCCTCAGATCCTCACTCCACATTCCTCTCTGTGGAGAAAAAGAGGAACAAAACACAGCACACAAAAGACCTGAAAGCGAGAAGTGAAAGGGGATTTTTGTGGGTTTTTCAAAGAAACAAGTTCACTTTCAACCTGCAATTTTCTTCTCCTTCTCGTAACTCTTTCTGTCATGTGAGGTAATTATGCAGAATGGGCATTAGTGGGAATTTATTAGTATGTATGTACTGTAAGGCATTCTGTGGAAGAAATAACAAAAATATATATTTTTTAAATATGAACCTTGGTAGAACCAAGGAGGTCTATAATACTTGGACAGCACTGGACTGTTAGCATTCCCATTGCTCAACTGGTACAGAAAAGAAGTCCACAATTTGATTTCCACCAACATTGCTTAAGAGCACTCAGATCTGCATACATTAGCCAATAACCACAAATATCATTTGACTAATCACATGATGACATCAGCCAACCAGCAACTGACATCATCAAGACATTTACAATCCCAAACTTTTCAAAGGGGAAAAGTTGTTTTTTGCCCTCTAATGGCGTAGTTATGGCATCTACCAGTGTGTTTCACCCGCCAGCCAAACCTTTTACCTCTTGAGTCAAACTGTGGTGTTTTCTCAGAGTACCATCATGTAAATAATGTGGTACATGGATATGAATCATTCAGCATTATTGTATATATTAAAGAACCATGATGCAGCCATCCAATTCCATCACTGTGTTTCTCATCTATTATATAGTCAAAATAGGATAGCTATTTACTTCCAATTTGTCAAAACTGCAAATTAAATGGCTGCTTTGCATAATAAAGTTAGTACTAAGATAGAAGGACTTCTTTGAATGTACAAAATGTTGGACCGTAATGTCCTTACAATGACCGCTGAACTGATGCCACATAACTGTCAGTGAGAATAACATGACCCAGTGATTCAACTAGACCCTCACACATAATAAACACACACATGTAAAAGAAGTCTGAAGTCTGTCATTTCTGGAAATTTCATTATTTTCTGGGAAAAAAAATCAGAATGGAGAGGAACAGCATGATGCTGCAATTTAATTTGTTTTGTTTCCTTATTACTTGGTTTGAATTTCCATTTTATGTATGTAATAATTGTATCTTTTATAATCTTTACAAAAGGGATTTTATCTTTAATCTCATTTTTTTAACTTGTTTCCATGTGAAGTAATTGTGCTTATTGTAATTATTTTTTATTATAAAGCACTGTGAGCTGCATTCCTTGTATGAAAGGTGCTATACAAATAAAGCTTATTGTTACTAATATTATTACATTTTTATTCATTATTATTAATTTTTTTTGTAAAGAAACATCTCAAATGGCACCAAATGTAATAGTTTAATTTCATGTGCACAAGCAAATAAGTTTGAATGAACAAATTTGTTGATTAAATAATGTCGCTCTGTGAAGGTTAGAGAGCTGCTTGGTTCTTTCAATTGGATCAACAACAGTCTCCTACATTTATATTACCACAACAAGGATGCTTGTTGATCTATTCTGCCAGTCATTGTTTAAATTGTAAAGATGGTGATACTGTATCTGCCCAAAGTTTCAGAAGAGCACTACCAGATAAGGTGGAGGTTGTATTATTCTTCTGATCTTTCACACCACATTTCTCAGCATGTCCCCATGGTCACATTTTGTCATTGGTGTTTATTGGTTACGACTCAAGGTCCCTGACTAAAGCTCTGTTGATGTAAAATGATCTTTGATGTTTCTTTGTTTTGGTTTCATTGCTGACTGCATGTGTGTTGTTCTCTTTCAGAGGTCCTATACGTTGATAGTGGAGGCCTTGGACTTCAATAACGATACTGCCAGTGAAAGTGAGTAGCATCTTTGGCTGTTTGTTTTGCTTCTTTTTGTTTTTATTTGCTTTTTGGTTGATATATTTTTTCTGTTTTTTGTTTCCGTCTTTGATGTCCTTTCTGTGTTTCTTGCTTTGTTTGATTTGTTTCTATTTTTTTTTTGTCTTATAACTTTTTTCTTTTGTTTAAACTGGGAAATGTAAGAAATTCAAGTTTGTTTTGTTTCGTCTGCATAAATGTTTTTCTTTTGTTTAAACTGGGAAATGTAAGAAATTAAAGTTTGTTTTGTTTTGTTTCTTCTTTTCTCTTTTGTTTAAGCTTTGGGAAATGTAAGAAATTTAAGCTTGTTTTTGTACCATTTCCGCTCATAGCATGCTAGTCTTTAAACCAAATGTGCTGACAGGTGTGTGTGACAGGACAGGGAAGGGAAGAAGAGGAAGACTGTGTGTCTGTCTGTGAGAAACATTGTTGAGGGGGCCTCATGCTTATGAAAATGTTTCCGAATACCTGATGACTAATGGCAGGTGTTGGCAGTCAAGGTCTCATGGCCTCTCTGTCACGGTGCATAGCTCAAGCACAAGGTTATGTTTGCTATAACCTTTCTCTTCTTACACCTCAACAGGGCTTAACACTCCAGAAACAGTCCCATTTAGACACTAAACTGAGTCTGGTGGAGTTCATTTGAATAGCTCTTCTAGGTTGTGTTACCATTAACTGGTATAGCGACTTCCAGCTATATCCAGATATTCTGAATTCAAAGTTTTTGTTGCAGAAAAGCTTATGTTGAAGTTGTACTCTTGTCTTGTACTCTACAGTATGTATTAGCTTATAGACTGCATATGCTAATGGTTTATCTGGTGCTAGAACCTGTAATTTTACTATTTGGATTGTTGGTCTTTTCAAATACTTCCTAATATGTGTTGTGCTACATTTTAGAGGTATTTGTTTCTGTTTATTGGGCTTTGAATATTCAAATGAAATATTAGAATCTGTAGAAGCCAATTCAGACTTGCTTACATTTGTGACTTTGCTGCATTTTGAGAAGATTTAGTAACAACTTTAGTTTTATAAATATTGTAAAATAACATTGTCCACCAAGGGTAGATTTAGGCCAAAACTTTGTTTTTAAAGCTGTACCAGCTCAAACAGTGAAACATGGTGCTGGCAACACCAAAGTCATGGATCTGATTCCCAGGAAATGTAGAAACTGATCAAATGTGTGCAGTACCTTAAATGCATTGCAGGTTGCTTTGGTTAAAAATGTCAAGCAAATGCATTTGACAAACATTTTTATCCATATATGCCACAATTCAAAAATTTGGGGTTGGCAAGATTTTGATAAATGTTTTTCAAAGTCTCTTAATCTCACTTGGGCTGCATTTGTTATTTTATACAAATACATTAAAAACAATATTGTGAAATATTTTTATTATTTAAAACAACTTTTTTTCTATATTTGTATATTTTATGATGTAATTTATTCCTGTGATGGCAAAACTGAATTTTCAGCATCATTACTCCAGACTTCAGTGTCACATGATCCTTCAGAAATCATTCTAATATGCTGATTTTGTGCTCAAGGATCATGTTTTATTAATAGTAATGTTGAAAACGGTTGTGCTGCTTAATATTTTTGTGGAAACCATGGTACATTTTTTCCAGGATTCTTGAGATGAATGAAGAGGATTCATGAGATTAGTCAATAAAGTTCAAACAACAACATGAAATAGAAATCTTTTAGCATTATAAATGTCTTTACTGTCACTTTTGGTAAACTTAATGTGTCCTTGCTGAAAACAAGTTTTAATTTCTTAAAATCTTACTGACCCCAGACTTTTGAATTGGTTATTTATCAAATATATAAGAAATATATGTACACATATCATTAGTAGAATTTGTTTTTCATTTTTGCTAGCAACTCTCCTTATTCCTTGTCCTGAGGGTGTGGAGTTTTTTTCTGTCAGTTTAATGTGACTTCCTCACCCCACAGTGAAGTGGATCAGGCTGCAGGTAGTAAAGACATGACACTTGGCTCTGTCCACAGGGTTCAGGGTGCAAGTGAAATGCCACAACGACCCTCTGCATTCCAGAGTCCTATGAACTATAGGCCCACCTGGCCTCCATAATATCATCTCTTTTCACTCTTTCTACCTCCTCTAGGAATAACAGTTAATATAGCTACCCATGTTGCATCAGTTTGCAGAGAACTTTAAAGATAAGTGTTTATGTGAAAGGGAGGAATAGATATTTCACGGTTCCCTGTTCTAGTCATATTCGGGAAAATGGTGAAAGATGTGAGCTATCAGCTTTCTTCATCTTCTGTAGCTGCAAAAAGTGTATACTTTGCTTGACATTATTCCTAACAAACACCCCTTGATAACAAGGTTTTCCACATCCTGACTTGTTTTGGACGTTTCGTTCTGTATCTTCAGTCCTGCCCACCGATAGCCACACGGATGAACTGTCTGTGGTATAAACATTACCTCCACCACATTTCTACCATCAAATGTACAGAATATGCTGTCATGATGCCCACGACTGCATTTCAGACAGCATTGTAAACCTAAGTATATCATGGAGACCAATGGTGTCTACAGTGCTTTTGAGAAATGCAACCCAGCCCTAGTTGGGAGTATAATAAGAATTTAAGGATGAAATCTGTGGGTGAGTGGGTGGGTGTTTGATTGTGGTCAGAGTGTTTGAAGGGAATACATGTCAGATTACTTAGTTTACTAGTGCTTACATACATTTATTTCCAGTAAGTGTCTCTCAGATTCTACATTTATCTGTCCTAATCAAGGGGTTTTCAAACTTGATGCCAAGGATGATTCCCTTCCATAAATATAAAGGCTGCTATTTATTTTAAGACTCATTTAGGGTTTGTTCACACAGAATGCATTTTTGAATTCGACTTTGTTGCTTTTCCATTGTTTTTCTACAGTATATAAAAATGCGATAGACAGATGTGTTTGACCATTGAACTTGTGCAGCATCTCTAGATCTTACTTTTTTTATTTTTGTTGTTTTTAAATGCAAAATGTCCCCTTACATTGAAAAATATTATGGGTGATATTATAAAAACAAATAAAATGTTATATAAAAATAGAATTTTTGTCATTTTACCAAATCCAAAATAAACAATTAAAATATTAGCTGGAAAACTTCAAAATAATTGAAATGAGTATTAGTGCTGATTTAAAGGGGTCCTATTATACCGTTTTTTTACTTTTTCAACTTTAGTTAGTCTGTAATGTTGCTGTTTGAGCATAAAAAAGATCTGCAAAGTTACAAAGCTCAAAGTCCACTTCAAAAGGAGATATTTTATTTAACAGAAATCACTTTTCAAAAACTACAACGAACGACTCGTTTGGACTACAACGCATATTTTCCGGGATTTGTGATATCACAAATACCGACGAATGGGACGAGACCTGGTTGAGCTGCACTAGAGAAGGCAACGAGTGTTATCACTATGTCAGAGACACGTTAGCTTTCCCAAGGCGAACTTTGGTTACAATCATCTGGGTTTAAATCGCGCTCAAATTGATTTGATCTTGACACAATATTTACACTGAAGCTCGCAGCAGGCGGCTATGGTAAGGGGCATGACATTTCCCGACCAGGCGCCAAGTGGTGCCAATCACAACACTCACTGGCCCAGCTAACCAATCACAGCACATTTCGTATTTCAGAAGGCGGGCCTTCATTTGATACAGGAACTATTCGAGCCATTCATGCCAGACTGAGGAGAGAGGTGTTGTAATAATGTAAAATATGTGAAAAATAATGTGTTTTTCGAACAACCTAGTATGAGAGCCTGTTCTACTACACCCCCAAAACAAAATCAAGACTTTGTAAAAGAGCATAATAGGACCCCTTTAATACCAACACTTTTTCTCTGTAATTTTCCATGGACCCCCTTGTGGCCACCTGGGGGTCTCCAGAAACCCAGTTTAAAACCCCTGCTCTAATTCACTACTCTGCATGGGATCTGAATCTACGGGGGTGAATATGTCAGACAGAGAAAGAGAAAAAGTGAGCAAGACAGTGTTTATTCACTGATGTCATGAGTCCTTGCTGCTAGTAGCATATTGTTTGCACAATGTAATTAATAGTGATTGTGGCTTTTCCTTCAGCTATAAACATGAGGGGTCATTTTAGGCCAGTGATATCTTTAATCTGTGAGCAGCTGGATAGAGACATTGAAGTTTCTTGGTTAACCTTTAACTCTTTGAATTGTGTGTGGTGTTATTGTGTCAAGGCCTTTCTAACTGTTACACATTGACTGTTCAGGTGGAAAGCTCATCGAGAAAGCGTACCACTCTGGCATGATCAACCCAAATCGACAATGGCAGAAACTGACCCACAACGGCCCCATCGCTCAGTTTGAGTACCAGATCCGGGTCACCTGCGATGAACACTACTACGGCTTTGGCTGCAACAAGTTCTGCCGGCCACGTGACGAGTTCTTTGGACATTACACTTGTGACCAGAATGGCAACAAGACCTGCCTGGAAGGATGGACGGGTCCTGACTGCAATACAGGTGAGCAAGTAGACTGTGTTAAGGCCCCCCCTTTTTTTTGCATTTATTTAGTCAAAAGTACAGTAAAAACAGTAATAGTGTGAAAATATTATTGCAGTCTAAAATAATTGTTTCTTAATTTGATATATTTGAAAATGTATTTTTTTCCTGTGATGCAAAGCTGAGTTTTCATTAGAGACTACTCTAGTCTTTAGTGTCACTTCAGGATACATTCTAATATACTGATTTAATAGATTTACTATAGGGCTTTAGAAAGAAATATTTTATTTGATTTAACATAAAATTTATTACACACAAATGTTTAGGTTACAATGGCCTAACATAAACTATGGAACATATAAGAAGATAATTTGAGAAAAAGTTTTTTGGTTTTTTTTCACGCAATGGAAGTCATTGGTAACCAGAACAGCTTACCAACAGCCTTCAAAATACCTTGTTTTATGTTCCACAAAAGAAAGTAAGTCATTCAGGTTTGAGTAAATGATTTTAAAAAAAAAATCCCTTTTTTTGAATGAAATAATACTCTAAATAAGAAACTAAAACTGGCAGCAGGTGGCGGTAAATGTCTATGAGTCAAAAATTCATTTGATTCGTTCAAACGGCTGATTCATTCAGGAATTCAGTGAACGGCTCACTTTATGAATGGGGCTTTGAATCATTGATTCACACGACTCGTTCAAAACACGGATTCATTCAGAAACTAACCACCGCTGTGTTGCTCACAGACGCACAACAGTTCTGCTGTGGCTTTAGGTAATATTTTGTTGGCAAAACAGACAATATTGTGTTTAAAATATAACACAATATCAATTTCTAACTGAACTGTTATATAAAATCACATTTGCACTCGTGCTATTCGTGTAATACTGCTCTCGCTGCTCGTGTGATATAGCTTATCGTATGATATAAATGCTATAAATGCCCATGTATGAGACAAAAACTCATACATGGGCATTTTTTGCACCAATATCTTGAATTTTGGGGCATAACTGCATTTATGGAGTTGTTGCCTTGCATTATATTTGTCAAGTCAACTGTATGAAATGTAAGATGATGTACAGGTCTGGGGGCGGGGCCAGTGCGTTAACTGCGTTAAAATATTTTATTAAGTGTTATTTTTTTATAACTAGTTAATTAAGTTAACACGTTAAACTGACAGCCCTAATTTAATATAATATAATTTTATATATTATAATTTAATATTATAATATTTCTTATTATTATCAATGTTAAAAACATTGCTGCTTAATATTTTTGTGGAAACGGTCAGTTTTTATGATTTTGTAATGATTAGAAAGTATACAAAAATTATTTAAAATATCATGTTAAAATCTTTTAAAAAATCTTTTAAAAAATCCTACTGACCCTAAACTTTTGTACATTATATTACATTTTAAAATATAAAAATAAATTTATATTTATATTCTATAAATTACTCCTGAGTCTAATTTCTATACAAAGATTGTTTTTCTTTTTTTATTTAACAATGAAAATTTCATCAATTTCATTGATTTGGGCATCCCTGAATGCATCTGATAATGAAGTAAAATGCTTTGCAAACTGTTAACTCAAATGCTTTTTGCCAAAACAAACAGTTTCCATTTTAAGAGGCTGGTGGGTTTAGTGTGGAATAGTTTGGAATAAGCCATGAACGGAGAGCGCAGCACCCGAAGCCCGACGACAGGACTCAGATTAGAGTAGGATTCAGTTAGGCTAATTAGGGGTTTGAAAAAATTTCATGGGTGAACAGGGTACATTGAGGCCCGTGGTATATCTTACAGCAAGGATGGGGAACAAACTTATCTTATTCATTCTTTCCCACTCTTTCGGTTTTCCAGCGATCTGCAGACAAGGTTGCAGCACCGAACATGGATCTTGTAAGGAACCAGGTGGCTGCAAGTGAGTAATCTGCAATATTATTCTATATTTTTTGTGGCATTTCCTGCAAAAATGTACTTTACACTGTCACCAGGTTTATTTTGTCCTCAACCTTGCTCTTTAACATTTTGAGCCAAGCCTTGTTAAAGTGTGAAAGATGCAACAGTACAAGCTTTCACTGCAACTAGAGGCTCATGGTTAAATCTTGTTAGAATCCATGTGTCCTGCTTGACCTATCAAGGTCTGATAGCTCAAGCTCCGTTTCTGGTCCACAGACGATAAAAGCACAGATTACTGACATCCACCTCCAAGTATTCCAACATGGCTGGCATTTAGCAGTGAAACGGTGTCAATAAGGCCATGTTGTAAAGACAACTGAAGCACAAAGCTATTTTTAGCCATTTTGCTTTTGTCTGGCAAGATGTTGAAGCCTTATCTACAAACCATCATCTGCCAAGTTCAATCTTTAATTGGGTTTTAAAATGCACTGCTTGATTTACTAATGATGTATGAATTTGGCCACCGGGGAAGAGAAAGCGATGTGTATCTGTGTGTGTTCGTATAAAGCTATAGCTCAGTGATTTATGAGTGCATAATAAATACTCTTTGTAACACTGATGCACATAAAAAATTTGTCAAACTAAGTGGCTTGTTTAATGTGTAATAAAAAAGCATGGTGGTTTATTCTATTGTGTTGTTTTCCAAGAGAACAGAATTTGAAGCAATTTTTTAATCCTTCCATAGCAGCAAGTTTTCCTTGACATTTTCTTGAGTTAGGTTTTGCTTCGTAATATGTACGATTGTAGCATGCATGGGAAAAATGCATAAACAAGGCTTTCTGAAGTTACTTGCTTCGTCATAAAGGAATGTGCCATGTGTAACTTATTTGTGTTGAGTAGGGCATCGAGTTAATGAAAATTGAATTTCTTGCGCAACAAACTGATCTTGTTGGTTGGGGCAAGTCACGGCAGGTTTTGCATTGGGCTTTTTCTGGTTTTTCATCGGTTCGTTATAGGTGTTTGCATGTTTTTTGGTCAACAGATAGACATTAGTGATGTTTTGTTACAAAGATCTTTTTTGTTTGAGTAATTCTCATCATTGTACCAGCTCTGAAAGCGTTCAAGATCAAGGCTGGATGTCTACGGAATGCAATGTATACTAAAACCTCAGCTCTTTGTTACATTTGGCATGATTATATCCCATTACCTATTCATCTCTCACTGAAAGCTTGCCAGAACACACAACCATGCAACTGTGCAACTGTTGTAACAAGAGCTCTTACTGTGCTAAATTGGAACTGTCGAGGCCTACGGTCGAGGTGAAAATGTTACTCAGCCATGCTGCTTTAATGCCATATTTTTGCTTTAATATCATTCAAAGTCACTTCCAAGACACTGCTGATGTGAAATAGGGTTTTGTGAATGTTTCTCATAGTCAAAATCTTCTCGCACGTTTAAGAATAGTTGTCTTTAATCACAGAGAGAGGTTTCCTCAACCACCGTGTTTATTTTTACAGCTGAACTGCCGCCTCAGGCTAATTGTTTTCTTTTTTCCCCAGAGGGCAGTCTGTTTTCCTGTGGCGCTCAAGTGACTTACTATCTCATCTGAATCCTTCTTTAAGGAGCAGGTTATCGCTCAGGCTGTTTAATTACTGCCATTTTAAGGGGGAAGTGTAGGGGAGAACTATTGCTGAGCTGTTTTGGAGATGGCTTTTAATGACAGGCTTAGAGATATTCTGTGGCTGTAGATCTGACTCTGTTTTTTCATTCCCTGGGCGGAGAAAGGCTACATGGGAACAGCAGTGAGAATGCAAAAGAACCCGCCATAAATACATTGGCCAATGGAGCGGTTTACAAACACAATCCCCCCCACTCAGATGGTCCGAGCAGTTCTGGGGCCAACCCGCTCCGCTTTTATTGAGACAGAGTGTCCTGCCACAAGCTAATGTTAGTCTCTCTAAAAGACCCAGTGGAGTTTTAAAGCTGCTGTTTGTTGTTTGCATGGCTTGGCATTAAGTAATCAGACAAGAAGTTGTCGGCGGTTCCCTTTTCCCAGTGGACTGGAGTGAACTTTTAAAACAGGGTTTATAAAAGGGTAACCTTTTAGCATTGGACGCCCTGAAAAACAACACTTTTCTCAAAGTTTTGATAAGTACTTTTAGAAAATGATGGCAAATTATGCTTTAGAAAATCACTACACATTGTTATCGTGTGGTGTTGTCATTGTAACAGAACATACTTCTTCAGCCCTGACGCCTCTTGAGAAAATGAGATAATTGGAAAAGCAAACTCATTCTAAAAGAGGTGTGGGTTTACTAATAGTAAACAAGAACATTTTCTTCTCTTTTTATCAAAGTAACATGTCATTAAAGTAATATTATGTTGAAAATTATTTTGCACTGTTAATCTCGTCATGAAACTACTGACTTTGTTATTCATTCTGTCCATGATAACTCAACTCAGATGATAACTTCATCTCACTCAAATACATTCAGATGCAAAAGCCAAAAGTGCTGTCTGAAATTTTCTTCTAAAATGAGCATTTTTATGTTCAGTTATTTCACTTTAATTGCACATTATCATAACTAAAATGTTATTTGTGTTAACTCAAATTGTATGCCATTTTATTCAGAAAATAATGGGTAAAATGGAAAATCAAACTGAACTACATGTAGTGGGCATATTGGTCTAAAAGATCAAAATCAATATGATTTAAAAAAAACTAAAAATTAATACTGTCACTATGCAGGAAATTCCTCTGGTATATATATACTGCCATTTAGTGACACTTGCAGTTCTTAGTGGTCGTTTAATTTGCATTTATAAACCCTTGCCTTAGTGTCTGTTTGTCTTTTTCAGGTGTCTGTACGGCTGGCAGGGTCCATACTGTGATAAGTGCATCCCTCACCCAGGCTGTGTACACGGAACCTGCGTTGAACCCTGGCAGTGCCTCTGTGACACTAACTGGGGTGGACAACTTTGTGACAAAGGTAAGCACGCGTCAATTTAACTTTTTCTGTCTCTTATTCTATTTTTGTTTCCGAACATTCAATACTAATGCTGTTCTTACCTCTCAGATCTAAACTACTGTGGAACTCACCAGCCGTGTCTGAATGGAGGAACGTGCAGCAATACAGGGCCTGACAAATACCAGTGCTCCTGTGAAGATGGCTACTCTGGGGTCAACTGTGAACGAGGTGAGTCCGTCATGCTAGCCACACTTTCAAACATCACACTAGAGTCTGGTTCATTTTGCAGATTGTGGCCAAAAACGTCCAAGTAGTCAAGAAAAGATCTGTCTGACTGACATGAAAAGTGGCCATTCACACATTGTTTTGTTTTATGTGTTCTTTAGGTGTTGGTTAATCTGAAATAGTGATATTACAAAAGTAAACCAATCACATATGGTGATTTTTGACCATTTTGTATTCAATATGCATCACAGTTTTTGAGGCTGAGACTAGTTGTTTTGTGTTGCAAATGTCAGTATTGTGCTTTCTCAAGTGTTCTTTTTCCTGTTTCTTTGTTTTTATTGATCTCCTTATTCCATTTTAAGGTTTCCTTTTTGTATTTTGCATTTAAATATGGTGTGTTTCAAGTTTGCCAAGTTTACAAGAATTTTGATTTGAAGTTAATATTTGTTCTGGCCATCAGATTTCAGTTCCACAGAAGGAATTTCATCAAGTGTGCACTTACTGTAGCAATGAGTGTAAAAAAAAAATGTCATTCTACTGCAATGAAATATCTAAAGCATAAAACAGTGATGTATCAGTTAATGCACATTTTGAATATAATGAGAGTTGGATTGATGCACTGCATTATAAAGAACCACTCAATGCACTGTCAAAAACAAATGAGAGAAAAAATGGTACCTTTTAGGGGTAGTCCCTGTAAAGGGAAGGGTTTGTAGCTTATCTACCCTTAAAAGGTGCAAATTACTAACTTAGAGTTGTATATGTACCCTTAGGGTATTACTATGAACATTTTAGGGGTAAATAAAGCAAAAATTTGTACCTTAGAGATGTGTACCTTTTTTCAGTGTGTGTGTGTGGTTTATTGTAGCAGTACTGCCCAAAAGTTTTATCATCTCTCCCTGTTTACAACTCTGAAACATAATGACACTGTAGCTGCTTGAAACTTGATACAAGGAGCAGTTTAGATGCAGTCGTTTGAATTTGATCGTCTTGTTTAATGAATCTTAAGTCATTATGCGCTGCTTTCTGTGTTTCTGTTGGCACAAGTCCATTTTATATACAATGCCATTTTGTTATTGACACCAAGTCAAAGTCTGCAGCAGTGTCATTGCATTCTGGTATAGCAAGATGGAAAAGGGTGTAGAGAGCCTATGGGGGATCAGATGATGTCAGACCACAGGCCTTAACTGTCTACAGTGTCAGGAAGGGCGCCCAGGTCTGCTAATCCTCTGTTATGATATGTCCTGCCAGTGAATCTCATCTGTTTTTACAGTCAGTGGTTGGATGGGTATAGTGATGAAATCTGCCAGATGGACTGTCATGGCTTTTTTCCTCCCCATCCTCCTCTCGGATTCATATGATCCAGATTCAAACCCTCAGGGTGGTGACAATCTCCTGGGGCAGTGAAATCTTCCCCTATCCAAACCATTGGAGGAATCGTTCAGTCTTAGCAGGAAGATAAAAGCTTAACTAGCAGTTAAGTTAATGGGGTCAGTCATGTAACTACAGTGCAAAGGTTAGATCAACATACTCTGGTCAGGCTCGAGAGCATATCAGACCTAATAGTTCACCCAGAAATGAATCCTCATGTAGTTTATTTCTTCTGTTTAACTAATTTTTGTTTCAATATAACGATAATAAGGCTTTACAGAAGAGTTGTACGAGTTTGAGGGTAAATAATGGCAGATTTTCAGGTAAAAAAATCAATAAAAACTGCAAACAAGTGATACTAAATGCTTGCGTTCACAGCTGAACATGCCTGTCTGTCCAACCCTTGTGTGAATGGAGGGACGTGCAAAGAGACCAGTCAGGGTTACGAGTGTCACTGTGCAGTCGGCTGGAGCGGCCCATCGTGCGAAATCAGTAAGAAGGCGCACAAACACACTATGAAGAATATATCCAGCAACACTTGATTTGTCTAACCTGCTCTGATCTCACAGATGATGATGATTGTACACCCAACCCATGCAAACATGGAGGCACCTGTCAGGATTTGGTTAATGGCTTCAAATGTACCTGCCCTCCTCACTGGACTGGCAAAATGTGCCTAATTGGTGAGAGATTAGTGAAGCAATTTGAAGTTTGACTTTCATCATGCTTCTAACTAGGAGTTAATTACAACAATTTTTTTTTTTCAAAGATGCCAATGAATGTGAGGACAAGCCATGTGTGAATGCCAAGTCATGCCACAATCTGATTGGTGGATATTTCTGCGAGTGTCTCCCTGGCTGGACGGGTCAGAATTGTAATATAAGTGAGCATAACAATCTCTATTTTTCTTTTTATCTCTGCATGTGCTTTTGTAGATTTCAATCTGCTGTTTTTGGCTTAAAAATTCAGACATATTTCTCTCAATTTCAGACATAAATGACTGTCAGGGTCAATGTCTGAATGGAGGAACTTGCAAGGTAGGAGATCTTCTGATGTTTTATTATCAGTATACACTACTGCTCAAAAGTTTGGGGTCAGAAAGAAATTAAAACATTTATTCAGCAAAAGTGACAGTTAACTTTTATAATGTTACCAAAAAAAAAAATCTATTTCAAATAAATACTGTTCTTTTTAACTTTCTATTCATCAAAGAGTTCCACAAAAATATCAACATTAATAAAAATATGAAATGCACCAAATCAGAATATTAGAATAAAGCAATAAGCCCCAAGAAGCCGTAGTTTACAGTGAATTTATAACAGCTAAGGGGTATTGTTAGGCACGACGCAAAGCGGAGCGGCTTCACGGGGCTTATTGCTTTTATAAAACGGTTATTCCATATACGTAGTAAGGTTTCACAAAATAAAACAGAGCAAATAAAGTGTAATGATATTAATAAAAACATTATTCTTCCACCAAACAATGTAGTTCCACAGAATCAGTTGTGGTTGCAACAAAGTGGTTGCCGAGCAACACACAAACGTAAACAAAGGTGTATGTTTGTAGAGTAATTTACAGCTTCGAACGTGGCTCGGCCAATCAGAATCAAGGATCGGAACTATCCGTTTTATAATGATTTCTGAAGGATCATGTGACAGTAAAGTAATGCCTGAAAATTCAGCTTTTACATCACAAGAATAAATTACATTTTATTATATATTCATTTAGAAAACAATTATTAGGAATAGCAATAAAATTTCACAATATTTCTGTTTTTACTGTATTTTTGAGCAAACAACTGCAACCTTGGTGAAGATAAGAGACTTCTTTCAAACACATCTTACTGACTGTTACGGTCCTTTCGAGATCTAGGGAATTGGTCCGCAACATTTAAAACAAATGAATTCGATGAATGGAGAGGAGAGCAGAAAAAAACAGCCACGACGACAGCATATGGCAAAAAGGCAGTAATTTATTCTACAAATGGCAGAAGGCAGCAACTTATTCACGTAGCTGTCCAGAAACGCACCAGCAGCGCGTGTGCATATTTACAGTGCCGAAAATAAAAGTATAATACAAACAAACCAACAAAAAGGGAGAGACATGATAGAGTGGCGCCTAAATCAACAAAGAAACAAAACCAAACAAGGCTACACTAAACGCCCAAACCCACTAACCTATCCTAACCAAATAAAAATGTGAAACAAAAACACGAAAGCTTCGGCGTAGGCGACGCCCTAAATACCCTACACTAACTAAAACAGAAAGAAATACACAAGAGGCGCTCACCCACTGACTAGTGTATCTAACACGGTTTCACTACGTGCAAGAGATGTAACCTACAACTAAGCTTACCTACCCTCATCTCCCACCTAGAGAACGAGAAAACTCAATAAGCTCACCATCAATTCGGCACATAGTTGTAAGACATGAAAGTCATACTGAGCAACTTGAGAACGAGAAGATACAGAGGAGTGAGGCACAACTCTAACAAATTGAAAACAAACACGCTGATGCCCGGGAGCTCACACAGGCTCTCCGCTCAGAGCATCTTCTAAAATAATTAATTCACGCAATGCCCCAAAATCCGCTGCTTTACTGGACGTCAACCACTTATCGAATAAAATGCCCTTCTCTCTCGCAAACTCGACGAACGTTTGATTTGAGGTCTTTTTATGTTTCCTAAATCGTTGCCGGTAAGCTTCAGGCACAAGTTCGTATGCACGCAAAATTGCTACTTTCACCGTATCATAATTCAAACTATCCTCTAAGGACAAACTTGCACAAACGTCTTGAGCTTTACCGGTTAATTTACATTGTAACAACAACGGCCAGATTTCCTTGGACCAATTTAATGCGGACGCAATACGTTCAAATACACCAAAATAAGAATCGATTTCAGATTCCCGAAATTGTGGAACAAGGGAAATGTGCTTATATCAAAGGTTTTTTCTGGTGGTTTAACTTCAGTCGAAGGATCAGCGATTTTCCCCGGTATCATTACCGGAGCAGGCTGAACTTTTGCAGTATTAAGCTCCAACTCACGCAGCTTAATCTCCTTCTCCGCCGCAATTTCCAGCCTGCGAATCTCGAGCCTTAAATTCATCTCAGCTTGACATTCCTCCGCCCGTGCACGGGCTTCGATTTGCACTCGTGCCAACTGAATTTTAAGCCTCACATCACCTCCAGACTCCACAGAAGCCGGAGAAAAAGGTTCGAAGGGCGGCAGAAAAGCCTTAGCTTTGGAATCCTCCACTTCGGCCCCTCCACTCTGCTCCTCCTCACCAGCTGATGGGCGAGTGTCTGAACTGAGTGAATCCTCCTCTCTTGCTGCATGTAACATCACGATCCTTAATTCCACCAACCTTTGTAAAACAGCACTTTTAATTTCCCTTTTTAATTGTTGCTTTGAAACCGCAATCTGATAATGTGCAGCGATACGCAATAAATCATCCTTGCGACATCTATCAATTTGCTCAACTGAAGGTGCATTAAGAAAGGTTTCCAAAACGAAATCAGCCATCGTGGTTTCTCAAACACTGCCCAACACGGTTGACCAACCACCTGCTCAAATGGTTTCGTTCCTTTACAAGAAAGTCACTTACTGCTTAAAATCATTCTGCCGTCCTCCCCAACATCAGACAGTCAAATAACTACTTCTGGCGGGTAAAGAGATCCCGGACGAGCCCCCACTAAATGTTACGGTCCTTTCGAGATCTAGGGAATTGGTCCGCAACATTTAAAACAAATGAATTCGATGAATGGAGAGGAGAGCAGAAAAACAGCCAGGACGACAGCATATGGCAAAAGGCAGTAATTTATTCTACAAATGGCAGAAGGCAGCAACTTATTCACGTAGCTGTCCAGAAACGCACCAGCAGCGCGTGTGCATATTTACAGTGCCGAAAATAAAAGTATAATACAAACAAACCAACAAAAAGGGACAGACATGATAGAGTGGCGCCTAAATCAACAAAGAAACAAAACCAAACAAGGCTACACTAAACGCCCAAACCCACTAACCTATCCTAACCAAATAAAAATGTGAAACAAAAACACGAAAGCTTCGGCGTAGGCGATGCCCTAAATACCCTACACTAACTAAAACAGAAAGAAATACACAAGAGGCGCTCACCCACTGACTAGTGTATCTAACACGGTTTCACTACGTGCAAGAGATGTAACCTACAACTAAGCTTACCTACCCTCATCTCCCACCTAGAGAACGAGAAAACTCAATAAGCTCACCATCAATTCGGCACATAGTTGTAAGACATGAAAGTCATACTGAGCAACTTGAGAACGAGAAGATACACAGGAGTGAGGCACAACTCAAACAAATCGAAAACACACACGCTGATGCCCGGGAGCTCACACAGGCTCTCCGCTCAGAGCACAGCCAAAAAGTCTCGCTACACACCCCAACAGCGCTCACTGCGCTGCCCTCGCCTCCCAGGCCGAGCGCACCGGAAGCTTTTAAAGCCACGGGCCGTCAGCTGATTCGTCGCAGTATGGAACACCCTAATAATGATTGGCGGCGAGTCACCCACTCAGCGGAAACCTAGGAGTTGGGGAAAAAGAAAACACAAGTAACAAGAAAAAATAAAAACAAAAACAACAACTCCCAGGGAACGTAACACTGACCCTAAACTTATGAATGGTAGTGTAATATTCTGTTGTTTCATTTAAGCAGGAAGGGGCTGGCATGTAAAGAGGCCAAGTACAGCTAGTTATTTTGTATGTGATGTTTAGTGATGGGTTTATCTGAAATCAGATATAACTGAGAACAAAGTGGAATGTACAGGTGTGCTCAAGGATATCCCTTTTAATTGCTAGTGACTGCTTCAAAGAAAACTCTTGAGTCATTTTCTAAGGCTTAATGCCATGAACCTCTCAAACTTTGACAAATCCAGTGACTAGTTCATCTCCAGAAGGGCTTATTGTTGAAGACTAGAAACTGTAAACATCCAGAACAGAAACACGGCTGTGCCGTCTGAGGCTGACATATTGATACCATTCATTCTCAGGAGTGCTGTACAAAAAAATGTAAGCGTTCTAAGCTGAACATTTATTTTTGGGGGTTAGTGCCAGGAAAGTATGCCCATGATTATGGCACAGAGATGATTTTACCTTGGTCACTACACTGAGTTATTGTAGCTTTTTTTTTTTTTAAATAACGTTCTAGCTCTCATCTTTGACAGGATTTGGTGAATGGTTACCGCTGTCTTTGCCCTCCTGGCTATTCGGGTGAACACTGTGACAAGGACGTGGACGAGTGTGCTAGCAGTCCCTGCCTAAACGGTGGCCGGTGTCAGGATGAAGTCAATGGATTTCAGTGTCTGTGTCCTGCCGGCTTCTCGGGTCAGCTGTGTCAGGTGAGAGAATGTCCTGTTTTCTTTCCTGCCTATTTTTTTATATAACTATCAGTCCAGTTGCTAAACTGGACACTTGATGCACCAAAAAGAAAGAAAAAAATCTCTCCCATAAAGATAAACTGTATTGATATACGTTTAAACGGTATAGCTGAATTTTGACATTTCTATTTGTACACACTATTGTTCAAACGTTTGGTGTTGGTAAGCTTTTTAATGTATTTGAAAGAAGTCTCTTATGCACTTGGATCAAAAATACATTAAAAACAGTAATATTGTGAAATAGTATTAGAATAACTGTTTTATATTTTAATATATTATTTATTTCTGTAAATTTTCAGCAGCCATTACTCCAGTTTTCAGTGTCACATGATTCTTCAGAA